TATCTGATGGGAGGACTTATCTGTGAGATTTTAGGGTACTGTTACGAAAGAATTTTTGTTGCCATAAACATGTAAGGAAAGATTTGTTAGAAATTTACGCACTGAGTAATAAGCGTTTACAAAATTTTGATTGGGAAGGTTTTGCCAGCATAAATTCCAACTAATTCTTCACTGGCTGACGGAAAGCAGAGTGACACTGTTTTGTTACATGACAGAAAGCAGAACTCGTCCATTTTCCAGCAGACAACTCGACACCTGTTCTTAGTTCAGAGCAATCATTATCCATGTCGCTTCGTCTCGTTCGACTGGTGTAAGAATAGGCCAGCTGAAGGCTGAGAGAGGGGCGTGCCTTGGGCGAGCTCGAAAACATGTACATCCGCATAGACTCCAATATCTATCCCTAGATACCTCCATCAAAAAGTCCTTTAATCTGCCTTTATTGGACTGGAAAGCAGCTAGGATTCAAAATTAATCTAGAAATCTGCTTTCTCCAAAAAAATTCCCGTTTCTGCTCCTAAAATCCCTTCCCCCTTCCCGCATCCTGGCAATTCGCCAAAATGCATCAACTCACACTTTCCGATCGTAGAAAACGTATGATGCGAAGGATTCATACCTTCCAATCTGAGGAAGGAGAGGGTGCCCATGAGGATTCATTCGAAGATTTGGATTTCCCCTCGGAACATTACGACGATGATGATAACGAGCCCACTCCGTCACAGCAACCCGTGGATCGGAAATTATTATTTGTACCAGACATTCATGAACTTAAACTGGATCAAGGAGAGAAACCACCACATAAAAGGGTTTGCACTGCCTTTGTATTCTTTGAAACAGGAAATTTTTCCATTTTTGTCAGTCTGAATTTAGCCATTCAGGATGTTATCGAGAAAATTCCAATGCGTGTACGATCTCAGAGTTGGTTGATACGTACCAGACATCTGCTACATGAAGAACGGGTGAGTTTCACAGTTTTAATCTACTTATTATAATGACGTTAATATTCTAATATTCATGAAAAAGTGAAGAAACTAATCAGACTGCAAAAAAATTGAAGAAAAAAGAAAAAACAAGACAAAAATACGCAGTAAATTGGAATCTAGGTCCAGTAGTTGGAGTATTTGGAGGAGATTATTAACTTTTCGGATATTACCATTTTTCAAATTTTCTTGCAAATTTTCGTGGCAACGTTAATTTTTTCTTAGTTGTTTATTATTTTTTTCGTCAGAAAAAAGTTTGAAAGAGTAGGATT